ATGGGTGTGCTGGATCACATAGACCTCCAGCAGAGAGCAGCCCGCAGCCTCCACAGGCAGATGACAATTCCAATGGCAACCTTCTCACTTGCGAAAATCTTCTGGCATTTAAATCCACTGCTAGCAGTACCCTATCTCATATTAATCCATATGCAGCAGGGAAATTCACGGACCTTCTTAAGCAGGTGAATGGAGGTTCCACCAACTTAGAAGCCCGAGGCACCATTAAAGCATGACACAACCTACTCATGTTCGGCAATGTCTGTCTTGCAGTTCCTGAAAGATGAGGCAAATTGTTAACTACATTAATCATCAAGGCAGTGCGCAACTACCTAAGAACGGATAATTATGTCCCTCTGCCCCAGCATCGCAGGAATCACAGAGGTTGACCCACGACAAATTCCACTGAAAACGAGAAAATTGGCACAAAGTTGAAGAAGGTGACACAGTGGGAGCAATCATAATAATTACAAGTGACGACACTGCAGCTCACAAGGATGAGACCACAGCCCCAGCACTAAGAGACAATCACCCAACATGGGACACCAAAGTCGTCAACAACAACCCTGAGGAAGACCCCATCTCTGAACAATTAATTTTGCCAGAATCAGAAGCCTATAAGGCGATCGTGTCATTTCCAGCTGGATCTGAAGGAGGTTACACTGGAATTCGACCACAACACCTCAAAGAGATGGTAAGTCCAGTTCTCGGTGCATCTGCATCAATTCTTCTCACCGAGTTAACAACCTTCGTCAACAACTTCCTGGCTGGGCGGATCCCAGAAGAAATTAAAACTTTCTTTTTTTTTGGAGCCTCATTATACGCTTTGAAGAAGAAGGATGGGGAAATTAGACCCACTGCTGTTGGTAACACTTTGCCGTCTCGTTGCCAAAGCAGCAGTAAGAAACATTTGCCTAAAAGCTGCCAGTTTACTCCAGCCATACCAGCTTGGCTTTGGCGTCTCTCTAAGCAGAGAAGCGCCCCAGTTCATTCGGCAAGGGCCTATATCAGGGACCTACCAGAAGACAAGGTCATACTCAAACTTAACTTTAGAAATGCCTTTAAATATGGTGAAAAGAGATGTGGTCCTGCCGGCCGTTCAGGATTGGTTCCCCAGTCTTTTTCCCTTCATTTCAGCTGGCTACAGCGTACCCTCAATTCTTTTGTTTGGCAAACGTGAAATTTCCTCATCAGAGGGCGTTCAGAAGGGTGATCCACTCGCTCCACTTCTCTTCTGCTTGGCAGTAAGAGAACTAACTTCCATCCTATGCAACGAACTGGTATGGTTTGTTTGCAGTCGTGTCATTACGATTTCGTGATTCATGTTAAAGGCTTTGAGGGGACTTGAGCTAGAATTCGTCACATAAAAACATAAGAACGAAGGAACACTGCAGCAGGCCTACTGGCCCATGCGAGGCAGGTCCAAGTCTCCTACCGGCTTAAGCCAATGCACCCAACCTAGTCAGGTCAGGTCACATTGACTTAAGAACATAAGAACATAAGAACGATGGAACACTGCAGAAGGCCTACTGGCCCATGCGAGGCAGGTCCAAGTCTCCTACCGGCTTAAGCCAATGCACCCAACCTAGTCAGGTCAGGTCACATTGACTTAAGGGAGGAACACGGCAACCGACCTGGTAGCACAAGCTATCAGGTCTAACTCACACCCACCCACATCTACTCATGTATTTATCCAACCTATTTTTAAAGCTACACAACGTTCTGGCCTCTATAACGGTACTTGGGAGTTTGTTCCACTCATCCACAACTCTATTACCAAACCAGTACTTTCCTATATCCTTCCTGAATCTGAATTTTTCCAACTTAAAACCATTGCTGCGAGTCCTGTCTAGGCTAGATATTTTCAGCACACTATTTACATCCCCTTTATTTATTCCTGTCTTCCATTTATACACCTCAATCATATCCCCCCTAATTCTACGTCTTTCTAGAGAGTGCAGTTTCAGGGCCCTTAGTCTATCCTCATAGGGAAGGTTTCTGATACATGGGATCAACTTTGTCATCCTCCTTTGTACATTTTCCAGAGAATTTATATCCATTCTGTAATACGGTGACCAAAACTGTGCAGCATAATCTAAATGAGGCCTAACCAAGGATGTATAGAGTTGAAGAACAACCTGAGGACTCCTATTATTTATGCTTCTTGTTATGAAGCCAAGGATTCTATTAGCTTTATTGCGAACACTTATGCACTGTTGTCTTGGGAGGAACACGGCAACCGACCTGGTAGCACAAGCTATCAGGTCCAACTCACACCCACCCACATCCACTCATGTATTTATCCAGTCTACCCTTAAAGCTACACAACGTTCTGGCCTCTATAACTGTACTTGGGAGTTTGTTCCACTCATCCACAACTCTATTACCAAACCAGTACTTTCCTATATCCTTCCAGAATCTGAAATTTTCCAACTTAAAACCATTGCTGCTAGTCCTGTCTAGGCTAGATATTTTCAGCACACTATTTACATCCCCTTTATTTATTCCTGTCTTCCATTTATACACCTCAATCATATCCCCCCTAATTCTACCTCTTTCTAGAGAGTGCAGATTCAGGGCCCTTAGTCTATCCTCATAGGGAAGGTTTCTGATACATGGGATCAACTTTGTCATCCTCCTTTGTACGTTTTCCATTGCATTTATATCCATTCTGTAATACGGTGACCAAAACTGTGCAGCATAATCTAAATGAGGCCTAACCAAGGATGTATAGAGTTGAAGAACAACCTGAGGACTCCTATTATTTATGCTTCTTGATATGAAGCCAAGGATTCTATTAGCTTTATTGCGAACACTTATGCACTGTTGTCTTGGTTTCAGATTACTGCTAACCATAACTCCTAAATCTTTTTCGCAATCCGTAATATAAAGATCTACATTATTTAGTTTACATGTGGCATGGTTATTGTCCTGTCCAACATTCAGAACTTTGCATTTGTCTATATTAAACTTCATCCGCCACTTCTCCGACCACTGCATCAGTCTATTCAAATCTTCCTGGAGTGCTCTAATGTCCTCGTCAGAATGAATTCGACGGCCTTTTTTGGTGTCATCTGCAAACTTGCTGATGTCGCTCTTTTTGCCCTCGTCTATGTCGTTTATGTAGATTGTGAACAGCAGGGGGCCCAACACTGACCCCTGTGGAACACCGCTCGTGACGCTTCCCCACTCTGATTTCTCCCCATTTATGCAAACTCTGCTGCCTATTTGTCAACCATGCCTCTATCCAGGAAAAAAATTCTCCTCCTATTCCATGTGCCTTAATTTTCCTCAATAGTCTCTGATGTGGGACCCTGTCAAAAGCCTTACTGAAGTCCATATACACAATAACATATTCATTACCATGATCTACCTCCTCAAATACCTTAGTGAAAAAAGTTAATAAATTCGTAAGGCAGGAACGCCCCTTTGTAAAACCATGCTGAGATTCGTTGATTAATTTATGCTTTTCAAGGTGGCTACGAACTGCCTCGGCAATTATTGATTCCATAAATTTTCCCACTATGGAGGTTAGGCTTATTGGTCTATAGGTCGAAGCTAGGGACCTGTCACCTGCTTTGAAAATAGGTATCACATTTGCCATTTTCCACTTATCTGGCACCATGCCAGTTTGTAGTGATATGATGCCAGTTTGTAGTGATATGGAGGTTCGTCTGTAAAAACTTGCATTTGTGGTCACAGTGGTGCCTATGCTAACCTTCCTATGGTGTAGAAATATACCTAGTTGGACGAATCTTATTGTGGCTAGCTGGTCCAGTGGCTAACGCGACGGTCTGGAGTTTTGAGACTCTCTGACCGCGGGTTCTATCCCGCCCGTGGTATGGTATATATATGTGTGTGTGTGTGTGTGTACTCACCTAATTGTACTCACCTAATTGTGGTTGCAGGGGTCGAGACTCAGCTCCTGGCCCCGCCTCTTCACTGATCGCTACTGGGTTCTCTCTCTCTCTGCTTCCTGAGCTTTGTCATACCTCTTCTTAAAACTATGTATGGTTCCTGCCTCCACTACTTCACTTGCTAGGCTATTCCACTTGCTGACGTCTTTATGACTGAAGAAATACTTCGTAACGTCCCTGTGACTCGTCTGAGTCTTCAGCTTCCAGTTGTGACCCCTTGTCCCTGTGTCCCCTCTCTGGAACATCCTATCTCTGTCCACCTTGTCTATTCCCCGCAGTATCTTGTATGTCGTTATCATGTCTCCCCTGACCCTTCTGTCCTCCAGTGTCGTCAGTCCGATTTCCCTTAACCTTTCCTCGTACGACATTCCCTTGAGCTCTGGGACTAGCCTTGTTGCAAACCTTTGTACTTTCTCTAACTTCTTGACGTGCTTGACCAGGTGTGGGTTCCAGACTGGTGCTGCATACTCCAGTATGGGCCTAACATACAGTGTACAGTGTGTGTGTGTGTGTGTGTGTGTGTGTGTGTGTGTGTGTGTGTAAGAATCGCAAACGAGCGATATAAGATACGAAACAACCACAGGGGGGGGTTGCATAAGGTGGAAACATTCAGTGCCCCTGCCACCATGGCAGGTCACATTTTCAGGAGCAAATGTTACCTGCCATCGTTTTCCCCAGGTTGATGTAGTCGTAAGCCGGTGAAAAATGTAATTTAGAGCAACTGGAGTTTCCTCTCTTGAATAAGTACAGTCGTCTGCATATGCTCTCTCTCTCTCTCTCTCTCTCTCTCTCTCTCTCTCTCTCTCTCTCTCTCTCTCTCTCTCTCTCTCTCTCTCTCTCTCTCTTTCTCTTTCTCTTTCCTGAGGAATACCGCCACACATCATGCAATAACATTGTCTTTTCTTCATTACAGTGCCATCAGAGAGGATATAATAACCTCTCCTCTTGCTTTATTATACATTGCTACTGTGCTGTGTGAAGTAACTTTCTCTCGTTCCTCTAGACACGTACTTTGTCTTTCTCTCATTCACAGTGGCCACATGGAGTGTAAAGTAATATTTCTTTCTCTCTCTCCCCTCACAGTGCCACCAGACAGCGTACGAATCCTGGACGTAAATGCAAACGAGATGAGCTCAACAATTGGCCCCTACGTACTGGGGATGACACTCACTCTCAAGTGTGTAGCCACAGGAGGTAATTATAATGTTATGTGACCTCATCCATTTCCTCGAAATTTATGCCAGATGATTTACACAAATATATTTAGTATAGCTATGTCGTCCCCTCTGACTTGGCCAGCCACTATTGTCCCTTATAATGAAGTCTCATGTAAGCATGAGTACACTTAGTATGCCAGCGTGAGTACACTTGGCCACCCACTATTGTCCCTTATAATGAAGTCTCATGTAAGCATGAGTACACTTAGTATGCCAGCATGAGTACACTTGGCCAGCCACTATTGTCCCTTATAATGAAGTCTCATGTAAGCATGAGTACACTTAGTATACCAGCGTGAGTACACTTGGCCAGCCACTATTGTCCCTTATAATGAAGTCTCATGTAAGCATGAGTACACTTAGTATGCCGCCAGCGTGAGTACACTTGGCCAGCCACTATTGTCCCTTATAATGAAGTCTCATGTAAGCATGAGTACACTTAGTATACCAGCGTGAGTACACATGGCCAGCCACTATTGTCCCTTATAATGAGGTCTCATGTAAGTATGAGTACACTTAGTATGCCAGCGTGAGTACACTTGGCCAGCCACTATTGTCCCTTATAATGAAGTCTCATGTAAGCATGAGTACACTTAGTATACCAGCGTGAGTACACTTGGCCAGCCACTATTGTCCCTTATAATGAAGTCTCATGTAAGCATGAGTACACTTAGTATGCCAGCGTGAGTACACTTGGCCAGCCACTATTGTCCCTTATAATGAAGTCTCATGTAAGCATGAGTACACTTAGTATGCCAGCGTGAGTACACTTGGCCAGCCACTATTGTCCCTTATAATGAAGTCTCATGTAAGCATGAGTACACTTAGTATGCCAGCGTGAGTACACTTGGCCAGCCACTATTGTCCCTTAAATGAAGTCTCATGTAAGCATGAGTACACTTAGTATGCCAGCGTGAGTACACTTGGCCAGCCACTATTGTCCCTTATAATGAAGTCTCATGTAAGCATGAGTACACTTAGTATACCAGCGTGAGTACACTTGGCCAGCCACTATTGTCCCTTATAATGAAGTCTCATGTAAGCATGAGTACACTTAGTATACCAGCGTGAGTACACTTGGCCAGCCACTATTGTCCCTTATAATGAAGTCTCATGTAAGCATGAGTACACTTAGTATGCATAGAAGATAAACAGAAAAACTAGCGAACATATCACAATACGCCGGAAGCGGTTCATAAAATGTCATCTTTAAAAATGGCTGCAGTCGTATTTTCACTGTACTTACTTCAGCTCATGTTTCAATTAGAGATGCCATCCTGGTGTCTAAATATATGTTTGTTGAGTCAAGGAATTCAAATTAAAGTTTTCTAATGCATATGAATATGGAATTTCAAAACAAACCGATCACATGCAATTAACTAGAAAGAAATTTTCAGGAACGTTGACATAAATATGAAATTAGGATTTCCTTGCATTAAATGTATGCTGTTACTTACATATTTTTGTCTATTACAGTTAGTACAAATAAAGTCTTGCTGGGTAGGTTTCTTTAAATAAAGAACATTTACATTAATAATTAAAATTATTTCCAAGTTTCAATTTTTGAAATGCCAAAATTACTCCAATTAAAAGTACAGACGAGAAAAATCACCACTTTTAATAATTGGAGGAAGAGAGTTGGGAAGCAGCTGAGAGAAGAGAATATATATAGTAGCATAAAGAATATATTAAATATCAGAAGAAATTTACTTTGTCTATTTTTGGCCAGCAAAGAAATCGTAGAATCCAGTAAAATAAAGTCAAGAGCTCCACCAAACTGATCTGATAAAGAGAGAATATAATGTTTCCATTCTTAATCTGATAAGCAAGTTTTGGTTTTCCATCCAAACATTTGCTGAAGTTGGCTGCAAATAATTGTTTTATCAACGAGGTAAAAGAGAGGATTGTGAGTCCGGTGGTAAGTGGAACCATGAGAAGCGACTAAGACACCAGGTATGAACGTAGCGTTGGTAATCATGAGAATTAAACCCGCCCTGAGATTCATAAGATCTTATGAGTTTAAACTAGTCCACCTTAACATTATGGAAGAGATAATTACTTTAGTTCATCAACAAGTAAAAACGAGTCCTCGATGATGTTTGCAGCAAATATGAGGGAATAATAAAATAGTCCATCCTAACGGAAAGTAGATATAATCAGGTCAATAACAAAGGACATCACAAATGTTTTAATGAAAATTTAATTTTGGACTCTACGACAGATTTTTCTGGACACGTTTTAAATAGCTACTGACTTTTCAGATGAAATGATGTCGCTTTTATCAGCATTTTTCAACATTAACAAGTCACTTCTAATGTTACAAAGTAATGCTGAGGAAGATGTAGACGCATCAGCGAAAGATTTATCAGAAAACGGAAGTGATGACGAATGTAGTGAAGAGAAAAAGACTTCTACTAATGAAAGAAAGATTTGGTTGTTAGCAAATAATATTTACCCAACAACATACTATTCTCTTCATCATACAAGAAAAAAACTCATTTTTATGTTATGGTTGGTCACAGTACAGGACAACTGTGAAAGTAAAGAATTACATGCATGAAGACAACATTAATTACAGTGAAAGACTGTGCAGTAACGCGGAAAAGTCAGCAGTTATCAGAATACACTAAACACACAAGTGGAGATGAAGAGTCAACACTGCCGATCATCTTTGATTCCTAAATCTTCACTATAGCTGCCAGTGACACTTTTAATCATGAAGTTCGATCAACAATATCCGGTACTAATATTTCATGCATAATTGTCAGTGATCTATTTCAGATGTATCCTTTCCATACCTCAGACCAAAAAACATCAACCAATAAGCCTAACCTCCATAGTGGGAAAATTTATGGAATCAATAATTGCCGAGGCAGTTCGTAGCCATCTTGAAAAGCATAAATTAATCAACGAATCTCAGCATGGTTTTACAAAGGGGCGTTCCTGCCTTACGAATTTATTAACTTTTTTCACTAAGGTATTTGAGGAGGTAGATCATGGTAATGAATATGATATTGTGTATATGGACTTCAGTAAGGCTTTTGACAGGGTCCCACATCAGAGACTATTGAGGAAAATTAAAGCACATGGAATAGGAGGAGAAATTTTTTCCTGGATAGAGGCATGGTTGACAAATAGGCAGCAGAGAGTTTGCATAAATGGGGAGAAATCAGAGTGGGGAAGCGTCACGAGCGGTGTTCCACAGGGGTCAGTGTTGGGCCCCCTGCTGTTCACAATCTACATAAACGACATAGATGAGGGCATAAAAGAGCGACATCGGCAAGTTTGCCGATGACACCAAATAGGCCGTCGAATTCATTCTGACGAGGACATTCGAGCACTCCAGGAAGATTTGAATAGACTGATGCAGTGGTCGGAGAAGTGGCAGATGCAGTTTAATATAGACAAATGCAAAGTTCTAAATGTTGGACAGGACAATAACCATGCCACATATAAACTAAATAATGTAGATCTTAATATTACGGATTGCGAAAAAAGATTTAGGAGTTCTGGTTAGCAGTAATCTGAAACCAAGACAACAGTGCATAAGTGTTCGCAATAAAGCTAATAGAATCCTTGGCTTCATATCAAGAAGCATAAATAATAGGAGTCCTCAGGTTGTTCTTCAACTCTATACATCCTTGGTTAGGCCTCATTTAGATTATGCTGCACAGTTTTGGTCACCGTATTACAGAATGGATATAAATTCTCTGGAAAATGTACAAAGGAGGATGACAAAGATGATCCCATGTATCAGAAACCTTCCCTATGAGGATAGACTAAGGGCCCTGAAACTGCACTCTCTAGAAAGACGTAGAATTAGGGGGGATATGATTGAGGTGTATAAATGGAAGACAGGAATAAATAAAGGGGATGTAAATAGTGTGCTGAAAATATCTAGCCTAGACAGGACTCGCAGCAATGGTTTTAAGTTGGAAAAATTCAGATTCAGGAAGGATATAGGAAAGTACTGGTTTGGTAATAGAGTTGTGGATGAGTGGAACAAACTCCCAAGTACCGTTATAGAGGCCAGAACGTTGTGTAGCTTTAAAAATAGGTTGGATAAATACATGAGTAGATGTGGGTGGGTGTGAGTTAGACCTGATAGCTTGTGCTAACAGGTCGGTTGCCGTGTTCCTCCCTTAAGTCAATGTGACCTGACCTGACTAGGTTGGGTGCTTTGGCTTAAGCCGGTAGGAGACTTGGACCTGCCTCGCATGGGCCAGTAGGCCTTCTGCAGTGTTCCTTCGTTCTTATGTTCTTATATTCTTATGTAAACAATATAGGAAATTTTTAGAAGTGATCTATTGACATTAAATATGCTTTGAGATGACAGTGATTTTCCTTCTAGACAAATGAAGCATCTTTTCTGAACTTGAGAAGCCGTTAGATTACTCCCTCCAACACCGTAATGTAATAAAATTACAATTATTGTACATTTGTTGCCACAAGTTCGCCAACATAGAACAAAAACTATGAAAATATTTAAAAAAAATTTTTTTTATCAAAGTGTGTTCAAATGCCACACAAAACGAAAAAGTATACAGGGTAGACTTCGTTTCTGACAGCTACACTTAGCAGTCACATAAAGTGGGAGAGAGAAAATGAATGAAAAACCACTGATCCAATTGAACTGAATAAAATAAAATGCAATACTCCTATTCCCATTCAGATGGACAAGTTCCGACCTTACAACACAAAGAAATTCTCCAGTTGGTTGTCAGTAATTCTTTCATCAACAGAGAATAACACCAGATATGTACAGTTGGCAACCCAAAACTTTAGACGAATTTGGGCCGATGAAGACATGCAGTAACTATTTCGAATAGTATGACATAAGTAACTATAATTTTAGTTACTTATATCATAGTGTGACATTAGTAATATTTTACATTGATTTCTCTCTCTCTCACTCTATCTCTCCAAGGTTGTTAGGGATCGACACCATGCCCAGCCCTTCTAGGTCAGGGTAGGTTC